GAAGTATAAACACATCACTAATTATTCTAATATTACCAGTAAATACATTTAACAAACCTTCAGGACAAACATTTTTCTAAGTTACCGGTACGGTACCGTACCCAACCTGATAAAAATTCATCAATTGGGGTTCAATGAGTCTTTGTTACCAAGTAGAACAAACCATACACTTATTTATTCTCCTTAACAATAACTATAAGAGGTAGAGCCTAGATAAGGTCTTTGGAAAATTAACTCTTGGGTACCAAAATTAGCAAGGGTACCAAAGGGATTCCACTCGTGATTCAAACGTTATTTGCAAATACTTTTCAATGGAAAAGGTAGTTGTAATCAGATCAAGGTCAAGTATTTTTTTTTAATACCAACCGAAGCTTGTTTTGTGCTCAATATAAATACGAGTTAGACCGATTTGTTAATACCAAGGAAAAAATGTGGTTCGGATTCCACTGTAAACTGTAGGTCCCTTAGTTTCCATTAGCTGTATGGGCTATTAATTAACGGCTGTGTATAAGGAATATGTCGGCCTTAGTCACTAACAAAACTACAAGATCACGCCACTCATCCTACACTCATCTCCTCAAATTATTTGTAATGACTATTAAAGTTTGTAGGTACCTAAATACCGCAGGGGGCTCACGCTTGCGTGGGTTCGTGGCCTGGGCGACCACGCGGACCCTAGCTCTCCCAGAGGGGAGGTAACTGCCCGGTGTCAGACCCGGCACTTCAGGTAGACCACAGTTATGGACGACTGGTAAGCGCCAGCCCCTTAGGGGGAGCCTCCAGTGACATTCCCTCCATTCAGGGTGGGGGGGGTGTTTAGCTCTCAGTGACGCCGTTAATTCCGCCTCTCCTCAACTACCTGTAACTGTGGTTGTGACTGAGTCCTACCTGTTGTGTTCGACTGACATTTTGTGAGGCATATCCTCGACTTTGGAAGTAGCCTCGTCCTGGGAGGTGAAATACCTAGCCCCCAGAGGGGAGGTAAATGCTCCGTGTTGGTATCGGCATTTTCAAGTTGGCCACAGACATGGTCGACTGGGCATCGGGTCCCAGTGACATTCCTTTATCCAGGATGGAGGGGTGTTTAGCTCTAGGAGAGATGGAAGTACATCATAATCTCTAACCTACCTGTGTCTGTGGTACTTTGGGCTTCGGCCTGCTTGTGGTGTGCGACCAGCATTCAGTGGGCAAATCCTCGACTTTGGAAGTAACCTTTCCTGGAGGTGAAAACGGGCAAGTACCCGCAGCTCACGGGGACACTCAAGGGCAACGTAACTTTCCGCAGTGTGAGGGCAACGGTTTGTAGGTACTTATGCAAACCTATCCCTGTCTCTGAGCACGGACGGTATGGTTATCTTGAGTGTGGGGGGTTCTTCCCGGAACCTCAATTGAGTCAAGGGTGTCGCCACCTCTGGTGGATAGGTTCATCCGGGTGGGTCCCACTTCTATACCTGCCTCCTTTTGGGAAACCCTGATGGCCTGGCAGTGATGTTGGGTCTGACGGGCAAACGAAGTAGATCGGGTGCTGGGTCCGAGCCCGCCAGGGGTGTCTGGGGATCTATCGCTCTGGATATCTCTGGTTCCCAGCAATGGGTCAGGCCTCGATCGGGCAGCGGTGTAAATGGGAGGTTGGGGTTCCCCCCGTCAGCGTGCTGATGGTCCCCTTCCTCCTGGCTATTGATGGCGGGTTCTGCCTGTCAGGGATGAGATAGGTCCCGAGTGTTGCTTGCACTAAATGCGTCGGGGCGCTCTACTATGGACCTCTAGGTTCCGACCTAGTGGAACCCAGGTGGAGTGACGCTTAAACAAGCAGCCGGAATCCCTGGTTAGGATTGAGGGGCAACCCTCTTTCCGAAGGGTCTGCTTTGGCAGCCGGCGAGCCTGATGACCTTAAGTCATCCGCCCATGATGTGCTAAAGGTTGATGCGTAAGCTTCGGCCTACATCATGGGGCCCGGGTATGTCCTGTAGGATAGGTACCGGGTAAGCAGTCAGGGGGCTTCGGCTCTCATGACAACAAATCTAAATCTAAATCTAAGGTACCTAAATAGGAAACTTTTCCAAATCTATCATCCTGGATCCCCAAGCTCACAGCTCTTACGCCGGGATTTCATATTAGGCTACTGTACCTTGACAGCTGAGATTTGTGTACCGTACCTACTGTGAATTTAACTGCAATTAGTTAGTGGGTTACAGGTAGGATTTAATAGCCTAGGTAGCATATTTTACACATCTTAATTAGCCTGAAAATCAGAAGCTTTTGAACCAGAGTACCGGTACTTTATACCTTACTTTTATACTTTTCAATGAAATGGAGACCATACAAAGTAGGCTAGAGCCTTACCCTATGTATTTTGAGTGTTTAAAATTTAACTTGACTGTAGCCTAATTGATTATTGGGTTAAAATAATTTTAAAAATTATTTATTTAAGTTTAGCACAAAACAGGCCTTGTGGCAATTTTACAAATTCAATTACCGTATTCATAAAAGTAGGCTATTTAGGTACCTAATATAAAATAATTACTAGATTATTTAAACTTGGATGATCAATGGTAACTGATACAATTAGACCTAATTCAAATGTAAATCAACATTAACTTCCTCTAAACTCTTAATCCACTTAATTTAACTATTTTTTGTTAAAATTTTAAACTGAACTTAGCCTAGCTAAATCTAATTTGTCTTGTTGTTGAGTACTGGAGAATTATCAGGTTGGGTCAGTTAATAACACAAAATGCTGATAAAGAAGTTATTTATAGAATAAATATTAATACTTTTATCTGAAATGGCAACCATACGAAAGTAGGAAGCCAAGTAGTTGGTTTAGGCCAAGTATGAATGGAAATGAGTGTAGGATGAGTGGCGATCTTGTAGTTATGTTACTTTCTTTACATTCAAGTCGTAAGTTACACTCTTGAAGTGGTGCCTAGCCCTTAGTAAGTAGTTATTTTCGCTGGTATCTAGGGCATAGTCCAACACCGCCCCCCCCCCTTGATTTCATGCCTTAATGTACCCACAACAATGCATACGGTGGAGGAAGACCCTGTGCCCTGTTTCATGAAAATTTCCACACAGTTCTCGCCACTTGGGCTCTTCCTTGCTCGTCTCAGTATAACCACAACAAACTAAATAGTGCTGAAAGCGCAAAGTCGTCTCATAAGTAAGTTTCCTCTCTACCTTACTTCTCTGTGGGGTAGTCTTGTTCCTTTTGCCTAGATAGTAGACTAAGTACTTTGTTCAATACATCATTCCTTATTGACAGCACATAGGTTATTGTACGGTAGGTACAGTATGTAAAAAAATAAAATTTGTGTCACACATCCAATAATTTCTTAGAGAGTAATTTATAATAATCTACTTATTAAATTTTAATGATGTTGCAACTAATCTTTTGAATACCTACCGTAATTTACTACCTAATGAGAGCCTCATTAGTCTCACTAAGACTCTTTAACTTAGTCTAGACGTTGGTGGTAGTTTAAAACTAAGGCCATAGAACTCTTGCAGGATGGTCATAGAATTTAAGTAGGCCTAAGTTAGGTGGACACTAAAACGAGGATCTACCTAAGTTGATTTTCATTGCAGTCGAGTCAGGTGATTTACTTAGTGGCAAATTTTATTCCTCATTCCTTAAGGTAAAATCTTCTAGGTAAGTTAGGCCTGATAACTCCAAATTGTAAACTAAAAATGAGTTAGTCTGGCACTGTTAACTTGTTGAGTGAGGCCGTTCCCGATCGGATACGTTGCTCGGCATGATGGGTTCTTACCCGATCAGGAACGCTCGGCAATGTTTTTGCTCTAGCGTCGGTCGAAGGCGGACCTATATACCACGTTACGGTACCGGTAGCGTACGTATTGTGTGACTTGCTTTTTGTTATGGTGTAGTTTGGTAGTAAATTTCCCCGTAAAATCCCCGTCTGACAAGCTTAAAATTCAACTTGTTAAGTAAAATCTTTCTCCCTCCAATTGGCAATACAATCACAATGGGACCGGCTACTTTCCAAGCACTGCTGCTATCTGTCGGAGTTTTAGCGAACGTCGACTCTCGTTGTAAGCAGGACATCACCACACGTTTATTTGCTATTCGTCAAGCAGAAATTTGAAAGCCAATTACAGACGACGATCGGGTTTGTTCGATGATGCAGGCTGTGCCGCACAGGGATATTCCTGCCATTTAATGTGCCGCAGCAAACGTAAGTTATTGATGCTGGGAACTTGGGGCTAGCCTGCTAAATCTAGGCTAAGTATGATGATGGTTACAATCAGTGTCTGTAAATAACTTAAGTTAGCCTATCAGGGGAAAATTAAAATCTTTCTCTAACTTCCAGGCTACTTACAAGAGATTTGCTAAGTTAGAGTCTAGGACTAGCTAATAGGATCAAAGCAGCAGTTTTGCATAAACTTCTCAGAGCCTTATTTAATCTCATCAATGCTATTTTACTGACAAGTTGGTCATTAACACCGCATCGGACAAGGAGTCAGTAGAGGTAGGCCTAAGTTAGTTTGAAATTAAACACCACAGGGGTTAAGTAGAATAATCCTAAAATTTACTTTGCAAAACTTGCAGTGAGTTCAGCAGTAGGACTATAGGAATATTAAATCTTAAATAGAGCCTATTTTACCCTTAGGTCCCTAGAATTTCAATCAAATTACTTTTCTAACATGTTTTAGTAGGTAGGTAACTTTGCAACTTTGTTAGGATTTTAACCTATCAATTATTAGGCCTACACGCTTTTAAAGAACCCATCTGAGGCGACTAAGAAATACAGCAACTGAATTTCCTAACCCTCACCACCATTCATGGATCTTTCTCATTTTAGGTAGCCTATTATCCTTAACTAATAAATTATTTACATATTTAAAATTTGAAACAATGGTCTAAACTATGAGAATTTGAAGTTCCCGGTCAACGTTTGTTGTTAGCAAATTAACATATCAAAGGGGATCAAACAACCCTTTGCAGGAAACCGCCCTTTTAAGTTTAACTTTGGCTTACTTACCTTAGAAATACCTGTCCCTTTGATGTTGTTTGAAGTACAGAACACAGCTAATTGCTTGAAAAACTTAACACTTTCACACATGGTAACAGTACTAAACCATTTTATAAACCAATAACAACCTAAAAAAATATTAACTATCACATAATAACACAACAAAACAGTTTTGTCAACATTTAACATCAACAAAAACTCACAACTTGTTACAGAAATTCAAGGCAGACATGTTAGTTTCAATTCAATGCGCTCTGGTGGAACGGAATTGAAACTATTTTAAAATTCATAGCCAATCAGAGACTATCACACTTCTTCTTTTCCTCCCACAATATAACGTACAGGTGTAAACATAGAAGCCACAATAATATAAATTAAAACTCTCTATACTATAACAATGCACAAGAAACTGTAATTAATTGTAATATCACTTAAAAGTGAATATATGAAATAATTGACTTTGAATTGTGCAAGGAGACTTGTGATTCTGTTTTCAAATCTGAAGCCTATTTTCAGAGTCTTACAGGCTGGGAACGCAAAGAGTGCGCTGATGTCTACTAAACGACCTCTTTCATTTTAGGGTTTATTTATGATTTCGATTTGTATTTTTGTTTGGCTACAAAACCAAGGAACAGACTTTTTTGCAATTCGATTTGTATATACTAGTTTTAAATGGATTGTCAAATAACGAGAAACAGTTAATAAATACAGCCCTGTGCCCAAACAAATCCGGACGGTTTTCTTCAGGTCAAAGGAGGGGGCATAGCTCAAAGGTTTTCTTCGGCTGATCCATTAAGCGTCCGTTAAGCGTTTAAGCTTAATGTAGATAAAACATAAGTAGTCTATAGTTTATAAGGCACCAGAAATTTATCATAGGTACACATCTTACATCTTCCCAAGATTTCTTGGGGGGATGTATAATCAATTGTATTATACGACTTTTGATACTGCTAGAGTGAATATCTCACCCGATTGTAAAATCTGAAGCTGGTTTTGATGTGTTTCATTCACTCGTTGTTCACTTAGATTACTTGTTCTACCAGTGAGATGGAGGAAATCTGTTAAAAAGGTGTTAGATGGAGATGGAGTCAGAAGAGGCTCTAGAGTTGGGTCTTAAGGATGCCCACTACCCTCGGGGGCTGAAGAAACATTTAAATATTTTTTTATACGATTACCTATTTTATTTGATTATTAATTATTCCAACCCCGTACGAAGACCGGGTAATCTGCTAGTGTAAAAATAAACACTTGAATAAGAGTGAAACATTGAGTTGACACCAGTGCACTCAAATGTCTCCAATACGAAACACTTACCCTATTTTCCTCCATGGTGGAAGGAAACAATTTCCCCCTATTTGTACTTTCTCCCCTGTTAAATTGTTTAATTTTCTAATGAGTTGTGTAGCGAAACACGAATTTTCCTGAGGTAGCGGTTGTTTCCAGTCACGTTTTTAGGGCTATAAGTCCCTAATTCCAAAATTTAGTAAAAATCCTTCGCTGGAATTCGTGTTGCATATTACAGATAAACAGACAGACTTAGCTCGTATTATAGTTTAGGATTTTGATAAAACATGGCAAATTATTTTATTTTATACTAGGCTATTGATATTTTACTAAAAAAGAACACTTTATTAGTTTCCTTGTAGCAACAAACCTAGGTACTCGTTAAGCCAAATGTTATTTAAATAGATTTGATTGAAAATAAACTTAGACAAATGGAAATTCGCTTAGTCAGCAAGTTGGCTGTGCTGGGGGGTATTTTATTATTACCGCCATATGGCATATTTTAAATACTACAGTATGTAGGTATTTCCGTATTTCTAAATAAGTACAGTTAGTTGCCTGGGTTAATTTAAATTTAGGGAAAATTCAGTAGAATGAAGCCAGAAATTATCTTATCTGTATATAAGATCTGTTTGCAGTTTTACATAATATTACGGTATACATAAATTGTTTTGCTAAATTTTTAAATTCTATTTGATTTTTAAATGTTAAATGGAAAACTAAAAAGGAAATTACTGGAGAAAATGCTCAAAGAAAGCAGTTATTGAATTAGGGTGGTCAATTTATAAGGGGAATAGGCATTTTATTTTAATCCATCCTACTAGGTACTCTGGGATACATACCGATCCGTGCTTGCATCAAAATTGATGATTCCACCTTGGCTAGTTCTTCAATGCATATATATTAAAAATAAATTTAATTACACATATGAATACAAATTATTCATATAAACCTAGAAAACTCAATCAATAATTTTAGATCTTTGATCACCACCTAAGGTCTGAATTTTCCACTGTGTAACTGCTTCTGAACGTAGGTCTTTTGGAAAAGTCTGGAACTGGAAGCTGTTTAACAATATTGTCAAAAACTCTGAAGATTTCCTGGTTCGGTAAAGTTACAGTCACCGACCCTGGTACTACTCTGTATGATTTAGCGTATGTTAAATAACCACATTCTAGGAAAAACTGGATAAACAAATCATAGTCTTCTTTTACTCTACTGTAGGAAGACTGAAGCTGCTTTAACTTTGTGATCTCCTTAAACGTGAAGCTTGGAATCACATCGTACGTGATGCTCTTATTTCTCGCAAGCACTCTGCAGTGACTATGTAGTTTAAAATGAGGCTTAACATACTTAAGCAAAATTTGTTCCACATTTGAAGATATCCAATGGGTGTCGAATGTCCTTGTCTTCAAAAACATAAGAACCGACCAAGGGTTATATATTTGAAATGTTCCTTTGATATAGTTATAACCTCCGTACCACTTTGACACTTCACTTTTGTATCTTCCGAGACGGAACTTATCCAAAAGGTATTCTGTTTCTGATTCGGTAAATCCAAAATAAGAACTGAAATCTTTAGATTCCATGAATTTGAAGGATTGAAGCAAGTTCATTCTTGACTTAAGTGGAACTGTACCCATGAAAATAGCTCTTTCTAGACACACATTGTCGTTGATTGTTTCATTTACGATGTGGAACACTGCACGGGAGATCTTATTCAAATCTAATTTCGAGAATACACTCCGAGTAATTAAATGGTCGTAGTCGTCAATCAGAATCACGGCCTTTTTCCCATGATGCATGTAAAGAATTTCAGATAAAAATTGTAATCCTCTTGAGAAATCTATCACTTCCAAATTAACATATGCTGTATACCATTGTATAGCCGCTTTGTTTAATTTCGATGACTTACTGAGATAGCTGTGTTCATCATAAGCTTTTTTAATATTCCTTCTCAATTCTCGTGAAATGTCTGTTATAGATTCAGAATACACTTCAGGTTTAAGACTAAAATATATTACAGGATGTTTGCAGAAGTGTTTCTCCAAGAACTGTTTGTCCCTCCAAATATTGGTGTTTTCAAAAAATCTTTCAGCATATTCTTTCTCATTGTGGTTGGCCAAAAACAGTTTGACCATCTGCAGATTTGTGGTTTTACCAAACTTTCGAGGTGCTGTAATAAGAATACGGTTATACTGAAGAACTTTCTTGAGGAAAAATGTTTTATCGATAAAAACAGAAGTGTTTCTTACATAAGTGAATTTTTCACTGTCTTCTATTACTTTACAAACAACTTTTCTATACTTTAAACATATTAGAAGTAACAAGAAAATTGAGTGTGTTGAAAAATTAAACATGTTTTCCAAATATCACTTAAATTAACATACCTCAAGTTACTCCTATTACATGTCTGCTAATTGATTGTAAAAGTAACAAATGCTGGATTGAAAACATCTCTACTGTTTGAATGCCGATTGATACAAACATATTTAGTTTATCTTATCAGATCTCAATAAAGTTACATTGTAGATTTTAAGATCAAACACGCTTCCACGTTAGAAATATTTTTTTTGTGTTATTGATTTTCGGCGGCATTCTAACATACTCTTTTGAGTGTCTATCATTTGTGTGGATCAACACATAGCATTTTTATTTATTTATTTTTTCTAAGGTTACGGTTTAAATCCTGAATATTTATATAATCTAATGTTGATTTTTTTATTAGAAGCATAATTAATTGATAATTTACACTTTTGGCTAAAATGATAGCCCAATGAGAAATGGAATCTGGGTCTAGTTGATGTTTTAGAATCAAACCAGCAACCTTCAGATTTTAAGGCCAGCACTAAAACCACTCAGCTACCCAGACAATTGTACAACTCTAGATAGTAAACTGTCTTTATTCGTTCCATAAAAGTGCAAAACTCAAATGAAATAACACATATTCATCCAACACACAGAATAAAAAGTTTCATACAGTTGGTAATACCCTGTAAAACACACAAGTTCACAATACTTTATTTTTTTAAAGCCTCCGTTTAAAGGGTGAATTATCAAGTTTAATTTCGTAAAATCATAATAAACTTTCAACAGCCGAGGGCTATTTTATTAGTGGGCTTTGACTATTAATACAACAACTTAATACTTCTGTATCCAATAGTCAATGTTAGTGGGTGATTTCGGTACTCACATCCATACCTTCAATATGTTTATTTCCATATTATACTAAAAATTGTATTTCCTTAACTTTATTTGAGAATTTTATCAACAGAATTATATCTTTGTTGGAAACTCGATTTATTAGATGGTCTGCTTGGCTAACATTGATGGTGAACCTAAAGTTCGAACCGAATTCAGTAGTTCTTATCACGCCTCTTAGATTTCAGAAGAAGTCATAACAGTTTACAGAAAACTTGTTTTAGTTAGCGCACATTAATAGTTACTTTATTAGTTACCAACATGTAATTAACAAGTAACTCTCAATGTATACAGTGTATTAAAAAGCTATATCACACCATCTGTTGATAAGGGTGTCATAGATTATCAACATGTTCTATCTACCTTACTCTCATCTCTTGATATCAGAGAAATCTTCAATTTTTGACGTGTTTGATTTAACAGATTGTTAACTGAAGCAAAAACTATGTGCTCGTTCCAATGGATTATCTCATCGTGAATAGCTTGTCAAGATCGCTAATGTTTATCTTGTGAAGACAGGTAATTTTTTTAGGTATTATAAATTAATTTTATTGAATTCAGTTTTATATTTGAGAGCTAGTTACAGCCAGTTTAAAAGAACTTAGTTTGAATAAACTACCGACAGAATGTACTGTCATAAAGTACTGTTTTCTCTTTTATACACAAACTGTTCTACCTCGCCTTTTAGAAAGAGCAAATTACTTTACTGTCAAATTTAACATCTTCAAATTACCTACCATACATCA